TCTCTAACAGGTATGAAATTATGTGACTTGGGCTTATACTCAAATGCAAATAAATTCATATTATATTTTAATTAAGATTAAGACTCTTCTTCATACTCTTGTCTGGGCTTATTTGTAGGCTATTGTGTCTGCTCATGTTTAGCTTCAGACTATGGATTAGGTATAATGCGTTTGCATGGTGCATTAAAGAAACCTTTGCTTTATCTTTATATTTCCTGTTTGGTTGTCTCTGTTTTTAGAGAGTAAATTTATCAAACTGAGGAATGCCTGCTTACTCTCTGAAAATTGTTATTTCAAAAGTACTTACCAGTTCCTGATTTAATATGACAAAATAGCATAAGCTGTTTAAACCTTTCATAAACTAAGTAAAAGATGAAAGAAAATTTATGCTATTAAGGCCTATGGCCTTTCTTAAAGGCTTGGATATCATAATGTTATTGTTAAAAGCCCCGGCCGTCCCTTGACAATTGATCCAATGACCAGAATGGGAATCCGTGGGAGGCTCACCTGGATCATGTTGATCTTTGTTAAATCCCAACTGTCCCTTGACACTTGATCCCAAGGCCAGGATAGGAATCAGTGGGAGGCTCACCTAGATCACATCAATCTCCTTCCATATTTGGGTGGCTGATTTAGGAAGGATTATATTATGGCAATTATACATGATTCTGTAATTATTTGTTTATTTATTAAGATATCTTATATAGATATATAAATAGGGATAATTTTATATAATAAAATTAAAGCTTTTTCCCTCTCCAATTCTCTGAATTTAACATGGTATCAGAGCCTTCATTGCCTTGGCTGGAATTATGAGATTTTTTTACCACTGAACTTTCTGAAGGGAAGGCCCCACCTTCCCTTCAGAAAGGAAAGGGAGCGAGTTCCTGGCTTGTTCATTCCTGCGTACGTTCAACCGAGAGGAAAGAGAGTGCTTCATCTTGCAGTATCTGCATTCGATCGAGAGAGACAAACGTCTTGTGCGTCTCGTTTAGAGGAGTCGAGCGAGAACCCTGCAGTTTTTGCGTTCAATCAAGAGAGATGAACGTCCTGTGAACCCCTCTCGTGTGCAACCAAATAGGATGAGAGAGGCGTGCGGCTAGAAAATTTTGCGCTTGTGTCTAGGGCGAAACCAAGCGAGATTGTGTGTCCCTAAAGCTTGTTCCTCTAGTGTGTACAGGGGCAGAACCGAGAGGAGCCAATTAAGAGCCTACATCGGGACGAGAGACCGTGCAACTTCATGGGATCAGGTACGTGCTTCCGGACCGAGCAGGTACGTGCGTCTGGATAGCTTTTGTCTTGTTCCTCTGCCCCCAAAATTTCTCGCGTCCTCCGCATTTGCATCAAATCCTGTCGGCATACACTTTGCCACATGTTCCCACCACCGGCCTTCATTGTCGGAATTCTGAGGAATATTAATCCTTCAATCGGCCAGAATTTTGAGGAATACGGGTTCCCACTATCGGCCTTCATTGTCAAAATTCTGAGAAATATTGGTCCTTCCATCGGCCTTCATTGTCGGAATGTTGAGGAATACAGTTTCCCACTACCGACATTCATTGTTGGAATTATGAGAAATACTGGTCCTTCAACCTGTCTTCATTGTCAGAATTATTACAAATATAGATTCCCACCACCATCCTTCATTGTCGGAATTCTGAGGACCTTCGTGCATCCAAGATCGAGGGGAGATCGAGCTGGAGGGCTCCTCTTGCATGCGACGTTCAGAGTCAACCGAGTAGAAGCGAGCGGAGGACCTCCTCCTACGTGTGTCGAAAAAAGCCAAGAGTTCTCTCTCAAGCGTTAGCTGGGATAAGCAAGAGTGCAAGACCTGCACTCCCTCCTACAATCAAACTAGATGGATCAGAGGCCTTGCGTGCGCATGTACTGGTTGATCGAACAGGAGTCTGTTCAGGTGGAGTCAGACCACTCGGAACGAGGAGTTCTGCATGCTGAGTTGCTTGAGACGCGTGTTTCTGCTCCTGTCCTTGGCTTACCACAACCTTAAAAACAATATTATTTTTTCTTTTTTACTGCCGTGTCTTCATTGCTGACTTACCCTTGAGAACCGACAGGGAAACAAACTCGAAAGATAATTAATCCACTTTCCATGCTTTCCCACCACCAGCCTTTATTGCCCTTTCTGGTATCTTGAGGACTATTCTTCAACGCAACTTTCATTGCTGCACTGCACCTTGCAGGCTTGATGAGATAGGCTTCATCGTTATCCTTTACCGCAATAATGTTTGAAGTTAATTCCTCCCAAAGCTTTGACCAAATGAAGGACTGTATGATGCACCAAGGGACTTGATAACTCTACTTTTTTTGGACTAATTACCAAGCTGGGAATGATAGATCTGTATTCCACAGCTTGAGGGGGAGTGTTAAAAATCCCAACCGTCCCTTGACACTTGATCCAACAGCTAGGATGGAAATTCGTGGGAAGCTCACCTTGATCATGCCGATCTCTGTTAAATCCCAGTCGTCCCACGGCCAGGATAGGAATCTGTGGGAGGCTCCCTTGGATCACACCGATCTCCTTTCGTATTTGGGTGGCTGATTTAGGAAGGATTATATTAGAGCAATTATGTATGATTATGTAATTATTTGTTTCTTTATTAATATATTATGTATTGATCTATATATAGGGATAGTTTTGTATAATAAAATTAAAACCTTTTCCTCTCCAATTTTTTGAATTTAACAGTTATAATAATGTTTAAATTATTATGTTATTTTCACTCTATAGTTTGTTTAAAGTATTCGTTTTAGACTTAAAAGATGGATAATTAGTCAAAGCCAATAAATCTTTTGTGATATGGGACCTTAACCTAAGGTTTTATGGATGATTACTGTTTATTTTTTAATCCTTTGACTTTCTTGTATTTATTTATTTTTAATGCTATTAAATTTTATTCTTAAATTTTGTCAAATATTTATTTTTATTGCCAAATGCATCTTTGTCATTCACCGCACATGAAATCCTGGATCTAAAGCTTCTATCCACGCTGAGTCCCTTTCTGAATCGGCTTATTGCTCAAAGAAATTTGATTATTGCTTTTTTAGATACTATTACTGCTCTATGTTTGGTTTTAATCTCATATAATTTTTCAATAACCAAATGACTTCAGACAATAGCCACATCAAGAAAATTTGATATTGATAGACAGCTGGTGACAATCATATTTAGTTTTTCGGTAATCATATGCTTATAGAAATAATTAGTTTGAAGAAAAAAAGAGACAGGAAATGATAAGATTAAAAATAAAATTTATTTTTTTGAAAAGGACTGATGGCATTTTTTGAAAATGATAGGGATAAAAAATAGATGTAGATAAACTCTTGGATATAGAGCAATTCATCCTTTATAATATTTAACTTGAGGGTGGGCTTGGAGCTCTACTTTGTTTTCCTCGATTGTGTTATGGAGGCATGGATTCTTTTGGTAACGCAACATTAAAGCTTGCATATATCAATCTCTCCCTAAATTCTGCTTTGAGAGGATTCTGGCAATAGTTGTATTTTTTAAGTATTTACTGAGATATATTTTTTATTTGGCATCAATGTTTTAGTTTGTTGTTAGTGGCCAATCATCTTTTTGTGTTTGGCTACTAGAATTTTGTCTGCTAATCTTGGCTTAGAATCTAGTTTGTTGTTGATCCGGGATAACACCTAGGCATTTAGAGGTTTGTTGGATCTGAGTCAGGTTAATGAAGCCGACCTATTTACATCATGTTTATATATATATATGACCAGACATAAGGCCCTAGTCAACTTTGGTTGGACCTTAGCAATAATTGTAAATGTGAACAAATACGAATCTAATATATTTTTTTTCTTTTGAATGCTGATCATTTCAATCAAGAATTTGACAATGAATGGAAACACAAGCAAATGTTATCATTCTATTCCATCCAATGGGCATGGGAAAAGTCATAAGGTTGGTCAGATTTCAAATCTTTATGCGAAAGTGAACGAACCTCGACTGTTGTGGCTGTATTCGAGTGAGCAGTTAGTTTAGCTTATTTTATTTTTTTATTTTTTAAAGTCAAACATCAACCAAAAATGATTCCAGACTGTCAGATTTTGGTAAACCTTTGATTGGTTTTTATGGGAAAAAGCCAAAAATGTTGGCCAAATTTCAAATCTTCATGTGGAAGCCTAATGTGAATTAACCTTGACTGCTGTGGGTATATTTGACTAGGCAGTTGAGTTATTACTTTTGAAGTCAAACTTGAACCAAAATTCATGTCGTACACCAGTCAGCTTGTGCTAAATCTTTGATTGTTTCCTACTATTATTCATCCGGGATTAATCTCTCGCGGAGGTTTCCAGGCTAGTAATCGGGCTTGTATTTTGGTTCCTTTTGTCATAGTTAAATCTAATATGCATATTTAGCAATTGAAATGTTTTATATCCCACTGTTTCCCGATTTTAATTATCAGAAATTTTGTCATAATTCAGTTTCTTTGAGTGTGCATTTCGTTGGGATCACCGAATCATCCTGAATTAAATTATGTTTCCACGGTCTTATAAACTGTATCGTGTTGATCAGGGTTTGAATTGGGTTAATCCTACTTTGATTCTTTTCCAAAAAATGCCCTATATATAATAAATTTATTGGTGCACATGAAGTTGGCATGGAGATGCTGACATCATGTATGCAATGGAAAAACGATGACATGTTTGATTAGACAGCTGAACAGGAGACGAACAAAATGTGTTCAATTATCTTATTGAACTGTATTTTACTACGCAGTATATGTCTCCTCGTAGTAGTCATTTAGTGTTACGTGGTTGGATTGATACGAAGTAAGAAAACAGTGTTTTAACTTCTTCTATTGACTGGGCATCATAATTTACACATAGGAGCTTGATTAGCTTAATAGCCGAATGACACTCCGCTTAGTAGAATAAGAACTAAACAGTTCTACAATCGCTATCATTTTATGATCACTTGATTAAGTAGATTTTCATTTCTATATTTTTTTATCTTGCAGGGAGAAAGAAACTTCAATAGGTTTGGTGGATGGCTGGGAAAGAATTCGACAATGGGAAAGAACTTGAGGCTTTTGGAGGATGTCCACATTCACATCCTTGCTTCTCAAACTTCTAATTTAGACAGGTGGCATGTTTCTTTAAATTAATTTTCCGATCAATTCTGGCAGAGCATTATGTAGTTTATAGAGCTTTGATCTCACTCTTTTTTAATCGACCACCCTCAATATGAGGCAGTAGTTTTTTTTGGTGTCCTCATTATGTTCCACATTCACGCTTCAGATTTGAGAATAGTACTTACTAATATGTAATTTGGTTATCCTAATATTACTACCGTTATTCTGATTTGTACCGTAAATACCTGAGGAAAATCCATAAATTAGATCCATGTGTTTGTACGCGGATGAAGAACACACTGGCGGAGCTGTTATTCATCGCTATGGATAGTGATATTTTTATTTTGTAAGAAACAACACAACGCTCAGAAGAGAATTACTTAGTTTTGGCCAACTTTAATGCTGTAAAACTGCTTTGAATATTTCATCATTAAATTCCTATATATTTAAAACCTTAAATTGGTAAATATTGTCTTTCATTTATATTTGAAGTCTCTGTTTTTGATGAAATCTTTCTATTGGGAAAAAATGTGCATTCTAATGATGAATGATGTGTTAGTACTTGCTTCCACGATATTAATTATGTATGCTTTTTTCGGACCATGTTGGAAGGAGCTTAATGAAAACTCTCATTTATTTTTGTCAAAAACATCACAAATTATTTTTTTTTTCCATTTCATTAGTTGGTTTATTTTCTGTCATTTCTTTATTTGATGACAAGTTAGTGATATGGCTGATTGGGCTTTCTAGCTTTAAACTTGTTTATTTTGTTTACAGAATTTCAATTTTAATAGTTTTGGTTAATTTCCACAAAAGTTTGTTTGGAGCTGGTGGTGGGTTGTTGGGAGCGTGTGACTTGCAATACTTGGAGTCTAGAAGGTGGGTTGTTTGGGGTATACGGTTTTGGGATGATGTGGTGGTTATGATCCAGCAATATGGCCATATGGACATGTTATGCCACAGACATGTCACATGCTATGAAGCATGGACAAGGGAACGACATGGCAAGGACATGACAATATTACATAATTGTAAAAAGTAAGACATAGTATGCTGTAGATAGAATAAATTTTATAATATTTTAATATTAAATATATAATTTGTAATTCTTTATTCTAAATTCATCATTTGATGAAGTATAAGATCATATACATATACTTAGAAGAAAAACTTAACAATGACAAAAGAAAAAATAAATATTATTGATAATGAAAGAAATGCTTTGATTGTAAAAAATAAATAACTCACGAGGTTCACACGAAGAAGTTGCTACGCAGAATAAGTGTCATGCACGGGACAATCTCATGTAGGAAAACTTCCTTGCAAGTTCCGTGTGAATCCACACGGGCGGTGGCACGCTTTCTGCATTTGTGGATTGTGCAGTGTTTTGGAATTATCTTTAGCTTATTCTAAATTTAGGTGGTGCTGTGTGTAGAAGTCCATTATGGAAGGTAAATTAAATCGGGAATTCCTTTTTGAATTATGTTCAACTAAAATTGAGATTTTTCCTATGCTGACATTATTTGCTGGCCTATATTTTGATGATTTTATAAATAATTGTTGTAAGACATGGCATGAATAAGACTTTTTTTTCTTAGTTTCAATCTTATGAGTGTAAGTTGGATGTGCGACTCTTTCAATTGTGGGACAAGTGTGACCACCTGATTCCAGGGGAAGTCATCTCCTTGGTATTGCTCTGAGGCCAGATTTTTTCTTTATTTGGTAATTTTGGTCCTTGTTCTTTTTATTGATATAATTTAATTTTGGAATGTTTAGTGCTCTTGATTTTGATCAAATAGTGGCATTGAAATTTTGATTTGTAGAAGTTAATTCAATTTGCTTGTTGATCTTATTTCTTCTCAATATGCTGTTAAAATTCTCAAATATTTTTTTATCACTCATTATCAATTTGTTGATTTAGAGAAAGCATATGATAAAGTTCCAAGAGAAGTGCTATGGAGAGTTCTTGAAAAAAAAGAGTTAATAATGCTTATATTCAAATCATTAAAGATATGTATGCAGGAGCTATTACTTGTGTTCAAACACAAAGTGGGTTGACCAAGTATTTTCCTATTTCGGTTGGATTACATCATGGATCAGCCTTAAGCCCATATCTTTTTGCTTTAGTCATGGATGTTCTCACTAGACATTTGCAAGAGGATGTACCTTGGTGTATGCTTTTTGTTGATGATATATTGATATTCTTCTTGTTGATTAGACTAGAGAGGGAGTTGAAGGTAAACTTGAATTATGGAGGTCAACCTTAGAGTCTAAAGGTTTTCACTTGAGCAGATCTAGAACTGAATATTTGGTGTAATTTTAGTAGTAATAGACCTAGTGAGGGATTGCGACTTTGAGCGATCAAGTCATTAATAAGAGTACACGTTTTACATGTCTTGGATCTATTGTTCATAGTGATGGTGAAATAGATGGGGATATTATCAATAGAATTCAAGTTGGATGGTTAAGGTGGAGGAATGCATCGGGCTTGTTGTGTGATAGAAAAGTACCTCCTCAAACATAAGGGAAAATTCTATAAGATGGTGGTGAGACGTGCAATGCTTTATGGTGTCTAATGTTGGCCATTAAAAGAGAAGCATAATACGAAGTTAAGTGTAGCAGAGATGAGGATGTTCAGGCGGATGAGTGGCTTTACCCGTAGAGATAAGATATGAAATGAGCATATACGTGAAAAGGTTGGAGTAGCTCCAGTGGAAGATAAGATTAGAGAGAGTCGCCTTAGCTGGTTTGGTCACATAAAACTGCAGCCTTCCGATGACCCGATTAAGATAGTAGATGTATAGATTTGACTTATGTTAAGAAAGATAGAGGTAGACCTAAAAAGATTTGGTTAGATAATATTAGAATTTAGCTTTCTTTATTAGATTTAGATGAGAATTTGACCCTTGACAGAACACAGTGGAGAAAAATGATTCATGTAGCCGACCCCACGTAGTGGGACAAATGCTTGTTGTTGTTGTTGCACTCATTATCAATGTCTTAATTTCTAGTATTTACATGTTGTTGAATTAATTTGTTGTGATATGTGAATTATTAATTTTCCTCAATTGAAAAGCATACTATACATTTTATTAAGTTGTATTATGTAACCTAAAAAATAGTCATCCTACATTAGAGTTGTGCTGGAGGACATGGTTACAATGCTGGAATGAGATTTTATCTGGAATGGGAAGTTACTGACATCATGCTAATGAATCTTATGCTGAAGGCAATGGATAGAGTGATTTGTTTGAAAAGGGCGGTAACAGATTCGAACGCGAATAGGAAATAATAGCTAGAATGGCTGTTACTAAGGATTTGGAAACTGAACGTTGTGATGGTATGAGTTATGTTTGTCGGCCTTCCTGAATTGACTTCTATTTATTTTTCTCGATTTGGTGTGGAATAATGTATGATGATAATAGCAAGTTCGATCTAGAGTTATTTTTTATCAGGATGCACGTAACCCTGTACTGGATCAGAAATCAAAGGAGAAGTGAAGAAGCGCCTTGCAATGCGTGTGGAGCATTCATAAAATAGAAGTTACTTTTGTGGAACGTTAATTGTGGCATTAACAGAATAGAAAGGTTAGCCGGCTGGGTGCATCCTGGTTTGGTTGATTTTGTTCTTTTTTCTTTTTTGGTATAGGTTTAGAATAGGATTGCATTGATTTAAAATTTTCATCTTTTTATAGCTTGTTGTTTAAAATTGTGGAGGGTTGGGGGATATTTTTAGGGTGGTTAGTAAATTTAATTAGAATTGCAGAAGACCGTGGGGAAGTTGATTGGCTGGAGTAGTTGTGGTGCTGGTGAGTTGACGGGGTTTGAAACAGAAGGGAAATCAGGAGATGGTTCGCACATTGAGTGTTTTTTCATGGTTGCTAGGCTATGAGGAAAGTGGGGAAACGAGGAAGATGGAAGTGTAGAGGAGGATAACAATAACATAAACAGAGAACTGCTGCAAGAAAATCTGTAATATTCAGGGACAACAACAGAAAAAATGCAGGGAAATGGAAATAAAAAAAATGCAGAAAACAAATTGCAAGTGATGACTTAGGTGAGCACACATTGGTTTGCGTATTGGTGGTTGGCTGCTTGATGCAGTAAAAAAATTATCATTTTATGTTTTTTTTTTCCTTTCATTTTCCTATGTTTTGGACACTATGTAGTTTTGGCCTCTATGTTTTTTATTTTTGTATACCTTAAGTTGCATCAAAACTTTGCGATAGTTTTTCCATATGGCACATTGGCTATGAGCTCAAAAAGGGGATTTTGTGATTCCTCATGTTATTGGGTTTTCTTTCTCCATAACCTCTAATGTTGCTTCAATAACAAATGCTCGAGAGGTCAAAAACAAAAAGAAAAGAAAAAGAGTCATTTTCATACCAAATGATCAAGGCCACAACAAAAGGAAAGGAAGAAAGAGGTATGTAATGAACAAGGGGTAAAAAGATAACCATAGTTTCAGACAAAACTCTAAATCATTTAGAGGAAAAGGACATACCAGAAATATCATGACGACAATAATTATTTTATTAAAATCAAATACAAAATGATATGATAGGGTTAATTATAATAGCAAGCTTACTACTTGAACGGCTATCCTAGCCACCACAAATATGAAAATCACAATTCTCAATTAAAAGTAATGGTCATAACATAATAATATTAGTGTCATTCAAGTCGTGTGACATTTATGATGACTTGGGCAAAGTAAGAAAGTGAATTTAGGTCTTAAGGAGATAAAATATATAAATGAAGATGACTATGTCAGATAGGTGAGTTGATTTGAAAAATTAGGTTGCATTGTTAAAATTATTGAGACTATGGTGTGTAGTGTTTTGTAAGCAGAGTACAAAAAGTATAGAAGATAAATAGAAAAGCTAAGATACAGTATCTTTTAATATAATATGGAGCATTTTGATAAACTACCATTATAGCGTTCAAATCTCATCATGCATGACAATCTCATTCCTACAATTATCAGCTAACTCATCTATAGGATCCGAAATGATGCTTGTAGGGTTGATGTAGTGAAGTCTAGGATCTTAAGTGTGGTTGAAGGAAACACAATATGAGTATACTTAATGCTTAGGAATCTTTCAAGAGTAAAAGAAACTCTCTAGGATCTAGAAAAAGTATGTGCAAAGAACTATTGGCGCAATGGCCTCTTTTATTGATAGTAATCCAACAACATTAACCATCCAACTTTGAGAAGCCTTTAGCAAAAATAAAAAATAAAAAATAGAAAAAAATCTATTTATCATTATGGTTTAGGTTGCATTTTGAGGTTATGTAAATATTAAAATTTAGAACAAAAATAAATTCAATATAACTCTCCTTACATGAATCTTCTCATTTAGGGTTGCAAATGAACCAAGTCAAGTTGAGCAAAGGCCTTTTCGAACTTGAGATAATTTTTCAAAATCTTGTTTGGGCTCCATCTCAAACTAGATTCGAGTATTTGTAGTTGTGGGCTCCGAAAATTCGGCCCCGGCCTCCGCTCGCTCTTCTTTATTCGGCGAGGGAGTTTTAACGAATTAAGTTCCGAGGTAAATTTTGGAAGGCAGATGGGTTTGTAGATAAGACACTACCCATCAACAGTAGTAGTATTCAAGCTCGGCTAGTTTAAAATTATAGTTGTTTGTGCATGGTTTGAGCTGGGCTCGTTAGCTTTTCAAATGAGCCTATTAATGAGCAATATTATCAAGTAGCTTGTTAGTTAATTGAATAAGCATTATCAAACCTATTAATGAGTAGACTATTGAACTTAAAAATGAGACTTTGATCAAATGAACTACTAAATAAACTAGTATTTTAAAGAGCATCAATAATTATATTTTATGAACAACAACAATATAAAATATAAAATAATAAGACTCCCAAGTAAATTTATAATTAAATCTTGAATGAGTAGATTATTGTTTCTTAATCTAGCTTCTTGATGATCTTGTTCGTGAGCTTTAAATGATATTATTCATGATCATAAATGAATGGAACATCAATCTATTCAAACCTACTCCTTTATCAATTGAGACTAATAAGTTTTTAAGCATATTTGTTTAGCTAATTAAATGATAATGAATGAGCTCTAGTCAAACTAAATCATGAGTAGCTTGTCAAGCATATTTGTTCTTTTGCAACCCTATTGTGTCGCAATTCCTCATGGTCATTTTTTTGAGGATGCTCAAATAACATAACATCTCTAACAGGTATGAAATTATGTGACTTGGGCTTATACTCAAATGCAAATAAAATTTTGATCTCAAATTCATATTATATTTTAATTTAGATTAAGACTCTTCTTTATACTCTTGTCTAGGCTTATTTTAGGCTATTGTGTCCGTTCATGTTTAGCTTCAGATTCAAGATAAGGTGACTTACAAAATATATACATTTTAAAGCTAACAATTTCTTTTTAAGGACGAATGGAATTGTGTAGTGCTGGTGTTTGTGTTTGCTTGATACGGTGACTTGCAAAATATGGAATATGTGTGAAATTTGCCAACTTAACGATTTGTTTTGGATGGCTGCAATTGTCTATGAAGTCAGTTATGAAACTACTACAGGAAAAATTACAATAACTTGAACAAATGTTATTGTTTGGACACTCCAACTGCCATGTTCTTGACCTTGATGCCTCTTATACTCATATTAGAAGATAAAACTTAAAACCGCTTAGATTAGCAAGGTAGCACAAAAACTACATGAAAAATCAAAGGTCTTGTTTAGCTAATCAAGGCGGCACAAAAACTGTATACAAAAAACATAAATTTCACGAAAATATGATTAGGAGAAGAAATTGCTATTTTTTCTTCTCACAAACTAGTATTAGAAGATTGAAAACTAGATTGCTATGAAAAGCTTAAAATGGAAACTTGAGGTGAAGAAATTGGACTTTTTTAATCCTCAAAGACTACCATTACAAGATTAAAACCATCTTTTTTCTCCTGCTGCTTTGTCTCTTTTTTGTTGCGCATGATCAGTCAGTGTCGCTTCTACAACATGCCACTATGAATGGGGAATTAGAGCACGTGAAAAGGTCTTAGGAATCGGTAAATATCTTAAAAGTAGGCATTTTGCAATCCTAATAGTTGAATTTTCGGTGAGTGTACACAAGGGAATTTTGGTGAATTGCGAAAATCAGGCTCCTGCTGCAGAAATTTCAGATAGTTAGATTTTTAATTTTCTAAAGAAAACCTATTAGAAAGATATCCCTTAAGAACCTTGGAGGGCAATTGTGAGGGGGTCTAGTAGGAGATTGCTTGTAATATCAGTCATTCTTCATTGCTTTATTTATATTGTCTCGAGTTACTAAAGGTTCACTTTCTTTGTAATGTCTTGGCAGCCATCATTCAGCCTGGACTGGTTGATAGTTGCTTTTGATGCGGACAACACTTAATGACTTATTCTTCAAACTAAATTTCAAACCTGTTATGATTGGTAGAGCTACTTTTTTTAAACAAATTTTATGTGTTAATCCAAATTAGATCTTTACTCTTCAATGAAACCTCCAGGCTGGATGATTCTTAGAATTTGTTTTTTAATAAAATTTTCCTATGTATGCCTGCTATGTACATATTTTAGCAGAATAGTTTGCCTTCTTTTGTTGGAAGTTAATGTTATGCACGTTCCTCAGGCAAAACCTACGGATTGACTACTTGTATCTTCTTTTAAAACAACTCACCGATCCACTTCGAGTTATGGCGAAGGTCTGAGCATCTGTACTTGTTCATTTCTTTTTGTTCAAGCAATTATTCATAACATGTACTCTAAAAATTATCAGGATGCAGCTGTTCAAACTGTTGTTGAATTCATGAATACATATTCCTTAAGCCAGGAGGACTTTGAGACGATTTTGGAGCTATCCAAGTTCAAGGTGTGTCTGTTTTTTTAATATTTAGAGCCTGTTGATCACTGGTAGGATTCCTGTCATTTTATGGACAAAGGTATTAGTAGATAATAGTTCTTTGTCCTCAGTTAGCTTTCATGTATGTGACAGTTAGTGATGCCGGACTACATGCGAATTAGGAAACTTGCACAAAATATTTAAAGATCAATTTCAGATTTTCGTTATTAGCGATTAAAACAACAAAATGAAACTAATAAATGGTCACATCCATTTAGGCTAAGCTACGAAAGAGACTAAACGAAATCAAAACACGTAGGGAAATTAAAGCATTGCATTAGGGGTAGTTTCCAACTTAACATTTGCTTAACAAAGGGATCCAAAAGCAAAGAAGTAACAATCCTACGAATACTAGTGGATGACGATTAGTAGACACAATCTCTTGCTTGAACTATCTCTCAACAAAGTAAGTAGGATTTGAAAGTAAATGAGTCAAGGAAGAAATCACCCTCACGGAGAAATGACGTGATTCACCACGTACCTTCCGCTAGTTTCTCTTCCTCACGTTGAGAAGATCTATCCAATCTTAGCCGTCGTACGCAAAACCGGAATCAAACTCCAGATTGATCATTCATCTTAATTCCAAGAAGGAGAAAACACCTTGAGAGGGGAGAAAAGAGAGAGGGTGGACGGTGGGGAGAGAGGCAGGCGGATGGGTAAGAGGGAAAACGACTAGGTTAGGGAGGAGCTAGGTTAGGTGGAATAGAAATGGTTTTAATTCACAAATCTGAAAATTATTCTCATATTTGAGTAAGATTGGAGGGAAAATAAGTGGATTTTGAAATTCAAATAACAAGTAATCAAGTCCCTTAATGAAGCATTAAAGGAGAGGGGACCACTAAGGGGGCCGGCCCCATGTTGAGGGGGGAGGGAGTTTGGGGAAAAGGAATTATGCGTTTCCTAATCCGCTCCGACTAATTAATTATGAAAATTTCAAATCCGCTCAAATTCAAAATTTGAAATCTCATTGAAAACTTTCCTAATTTGGCGTCGGGCAAATTTGGAAACTTCAACTTTGAATTTCAAAATTTGAAATTCGTGGGCAAGCAATAAGGGAAATGACGATTGGTGTAGAGGAAGATGGTGGGGAAAACAACAAGGGGGAGGCCGGCGGTCAAGGTGGCGCCGGCGGGATGAGGGGACGGTGGGTCTTGGGGAGGTAGTGAGGCTTGGCTAGGGGCGGTTATGAAGTGGTTGTTGGTGGAGGGGGGGGATGGTCGGCGGTGGGTGTGAGTAGAAGAAAAGAAAGAGGAGGAGATAAACCAAGAGCCACCGGGTGACTGTTGGGTACGACGGGTAGCCTCTCCTAGGCCCCACCAAATTCACAAACTCTCTCTCTCTCAAGCTCTCACAAAAGCTTCAAAAAGAAGAAGATGCAGGAAATTTCTCATGTCATTCATCAACCATCAAAAGTACAAGATGAAGGCTATAAATAGCCTAATACAAAGACATAAAATAAAAGACTAAAATACCCTCGAGGGGCTACAAGACTCAATCCCTCAAGCAAGGGTAAAAAGGAAAAAATGCAGAAATAAAATACATCAAAATAAAATGACCAAACTAAAATCAGAAATACATCGGGCAGATCGTGGCCGTAGATCTACGACCACGTCGACGATAGACTTTCCAACTGATGTCCCCATCAGTTAGCTTTCATGTATGTGACTGATGGATGGTATTGTTGTGGAAATTTCGCCTTTTTTTGGTGAACTAAGGCCCTGCATATGCCTTTGTAATGTTTCTGAAATAATGGCGAAAATTGGCCCGCTGATGCATTTGCTTAAAGCATTCCTTATGTATTGGTTATCCAAATTAGCTTCAGTGTGCACGATTTTTTGGAATATGCAGTTGCAATTTTGTTTTAGGTTTATTGTGAGGTGGCATTCATAACTTTAATACATCATGTAGGTTTATAGTTTGCATTTTTTGCATTTATTATAGGGTCATCCAAATCCAATGGATGGTATTCAACCTGCAGTCAAAGCTGCCTTGACTAAGGCATACAAACAAGGAAGCAGCACTCGTATTGTGAGGACTGCTGACTTGATCAATCTTCCGGGCATTAAGAAGGCTCCAAAGAAACGAATTGCAGCAATTTTGGAGCCTGTGGAGAATAGCATGGCAGAAGAAAATGGCGATGCATTATTGGAAAATGAAGAGGGTTCTGATTCTGAAGAAGCTGGTAAGTAATTATGCATATACCATGAGCTGCTTATAGCATCTGAACTGATGGGTTGCTTTTGAATATATTTATTAAAGGTAAGACATCTTTTCTTCACTTATTTCCAGATGTTTATCTTCTGAGCCAATTGCCCTTCTCCAAAAATATCTCTAGCATAATTTCTTTTTGCTTGTTTGCACTGTTAAATATAATTTCTACCCCTTCAAAGGAGTGAAAAGCATTAAGCATAATATGCCACTTGAGGGATTCTGTTGCTTATAGTGAATGATGCGCATTAGTAATGTTTTTTTATGGTTACATTATATTTTAATCTTACTAATAGGATTGCTGTGATTTCTGTCTGATTGACACAACTTTTATTATAATTTCTCTCCAAGATGTGATCGACCAAATTGGTGAGACTAGACCACAACTAGATCTGCATACTGATAATCGTAAAGGTCTGTTTCATGCTATCCTACTTCCCATTTTCCCTCTAGACGTTCATATCTAATTTCTGTGATGTATCTTCACACCTGTGATTAGGAATTCATGTTCAGCTTGATCTGAAAATTGAGGATGGCAAATCGAATAGTAAGAACACATCTGCTTCCAAAGCAAGGGGTTCTGGATCCTCGGGCAAGGTGGGTCGAGGTGGTTCAGCTGCTGGCAAGAGGAAGAGATGAATATAATGCTTTGCATAATGAGCTGTTGTCGGGTAAATCTCTTTATAACACGGTCATTTGGCTTCCAAATTTTGCTCATGTGCATGGAAGGTGTCCATTCTGTTTCGTCATGTTCACGTTTTGTTCTGTTCTTTTTTATCTTTTCAGTAAATCTTAAGCCTCCAGTTGTCTTCTTCTATTTTACGTTATCTGTTCCTGTATATTCAGACTTACTATGGTTTCTTTTCAAATGTTGCTTCACTTATCTACTTGATTAATTTGAAATACTAGTTTATGTTTTTCAAGGCATGGCTCCAAGAATGGGACTAATGGAACTAGAATGAAACTTAGTGCTTGCGAGAAATTTATTTAATAGAGTGAGGATTGATCAAAGTTATTTTTAGCTTGTACACAAATAGTTATGTAAATTAGATAGAAATCGTGCGGTATTTTTTTTATTCGAGTGAAGTTTTCACTGTTATGAAAAAAATTATAAGGTAATGCCATTTCTCATAATTAGAGAATATATATATATATATATATATATATATATATATAGTTTCACAATTCAAAATTAAAAAATACATATGAGTAAAGTTGCATGCGCGGTGGCTCAAATTTGGCTTATTAAAGAGCTCGTAACTTGAGCTTATCAAGCAAAGTGCTCAAGCTCATATTTGATCTTGGCTCGACTTTGCTGGTTGGCTCGTCAAGCTATTGGATTAAAACCTTATAGCCCCTATTTATTTGATTCTGGTTTGAAAGGAGCAAACGTCTCACAAACTCTTTTTTCTTCTGAAGCTGCTAGAACCCTTAAGGCCTTAAGGTATTCTTTAGAGAACTGCCACGACTCTCGCAACAATGTTCTCGCCATTGGTTTCAATGATTTCTTCTACAATGAGCTCCCACACAATTTCCTAGCTAGTCAGTGTTTATCTCGTTGATGCCTTCTCCAATGAGCTCCCGTCATGACTTCTCCTAGCATTAATATCGTTGGCACCTTTTCCAAAGAGTCGAACTCGACCCCCTATTTCCCAAGAAATTATTTTGTGTGGACACCTGACGGGAGAACCGTCCGGGTACGCTCGGCACCGAGCGCGGTACATTTTGGACGACGTGGCGCATTTTTATTGGTCTACAGGCGACATCCGGACTCCACACAGAATAATAAATCCTATTTCCCAAGGTATAGCCGTGAATAGAGACCTCCACTGAGCTCCCATCACAACCTTTAGTGAGTTCAACTTTGTCTTAAGCTTGAGCGTACTATTTCTTTGATGAGTTGAGCTCAGGCTCATTGTTTGATCTTGACTGAAGCTCAAGACAACCACTAAACTCAAGTCAACTCCGACTCTAGCTCAACTTTACTTGCTTATGCCTATATTAAGTTGCACTCAACATCAATTTGATCATCTCCAAACTTATTTGACCAAGTTTCTCGTTCACTTTCGTTTGAATGCACTAACTGAATCACAAAAATTCTATCTTTTGGCCTTATCGTCCAACCATATTTGCCTTTGTCCAACTATTCTCACTATCATATGCTTACTTTGGGTACATAGAAATGATCGTGTCACATATAAATGGTCCCTTTTCTTCATGAATATACCATTTATTTTACCTGTTCCATGAGGAAATATCGGTCAATTACTTCTGTGTCATAGGGGGGAATTATTGGGTTCGGACACCGGACGACGTTCGGAGCCCAATGAAAATGCATCACATCACCCCCTACTCGGTACTGCTCAATACCGAGCTCAATGCTCTGTCCGGTGTCCGAACCCAATAATCTCTCATCATCAGGACACGATGCCTATGCTGCTAGAACCTGCAAACCATAATGCCTCAAATGACTTTCCGTATCCCTACAGCCTTGGCCTCCCTTGTGCCTATAGATACATTCTCTATGGCCTCAAAGGGAGGTTTTCCGTTCTCTCTTTTACTTTTCTTTCATTGAGGGAGCAATCTAGCCTTGAGGCTCACTGTTCTTTCTCTTATTTAATGAACTAACAAGGACAATTTTTCAATCTGTCGCTAACTATTCATTTATTTTGGTACTCTCCTTGTAACTTTTCGAAGTTACTTGAAAAACTCAATGGAGGAATGTTTCGCTCTTGATGGGAAACTTGGTCCCCTTGCTAGCGAAAGCTTTAACCATAATGGTGTGGTTCTGGACTCCACCAAGGTGGACATTATGCTTCAGTTGGCTCTCAATATGATCACATCTATTACCTGTCAATAAATATTGACCCACGAGTTGGTGTAACTTAAGCCCCTCAACAATGTATTTTTGATGCTTTTAAAAGACTAATATGATGCCCAACACTGTTCTTTCTTTCCCAATGTTCCCACTCACTCACTAGGCAAATTATTGAGTCAGGTGACCGAACGCAGAGATAGGTCCAGATATTAATAAAATATTATTTTAAAATTAGCGCAAGTAAAGCGCAACTAAAACGCAAGTCAAAAAGCGCAACTAAAGCGCAACCAAAGTGCAAGGTGACGCAGCAAATTTTTATTGGATGTCCGAACTTATTTTCCGCCTCCGGTCACCTGACCCAATAATTTGCCCACTCACTGACACAAGGAACATTAAAATGGTCAGCTTATTGCCGGCAAAAAGGAGCGATTTAGGCTTCGTTTCGAACGGCTTGTTTATTACTTCTTAAAGCGAATTTCTAGTACAAAAATTAAAACTTTTATACAACAAAATCACTTGAAAAAATGAAAAAAAAAAAGTTCTTCCAAACGAAGCCTTAGTACATTAGATTTGTTAAAAAATCTTATTCTTAAAAAATAACTTTTGGAAATTGTGTTCAATTGATGCTTTACCATGCTTTATAATCATGCAGATTAAATTTTTGAGGGCCATCGAGTCACACCCATTGCCTTCACAATTTATCATCTCAACTCTTTATACCAAATCCCAGTAAATGTGCAATGTTTCGCTCAATTGCAGTTTGCTTCTTTTAAATCTTACTCTTTTCTTTCTGTGATAAGTGAATGATGGTCCATTTAAGTGATTTTTTTTTTCTTTCTTTCTATAGAAAATAAAAAAAAACTTTCTTATATAAAAAGTATGTACATATATGGGATTGTCAGTAGCATGAAATAGAATAGGGGGGTTTCTTGGTGTTATCAACCCTATTTTTTACTTATGTTGCACAATAAATTCAGATAAAAGGATGATTTTCTTATATAAAGATGCATACTGATATTATGTGTATTAACGATGACAAGGAGTTGGCACTTGAATGACAACCATGAAAAAAATAAATCCTGAATATAATTTCAAGATTTCTAGATTGGCTTGCTTCACTCCCTCAAGAGGCATTGTGGCTTATATATATATATATATACACATGATGTCTCGAGAGAGTTTATATAAAATTAAATGTTCAATAGTAAAATATCAATTGTGCACCAAAACCTATGGATAAGATGTTGAGGCCCTTTATAACAACGATTGTATCATTGCGCTTGCTAGTCCACAAAAGTGAGAAGGATCCTCATATATGTTGCCAAATTAATATGAGCAAGTAGACTAAGATTGATTTTGATTCTCCTAAGAAGGCATCAATATAATATAAAAGATCAAGCTATCATAAATGCTACTAATTGTTATGGTGATTCATGTCTAGAGATAGTTGTAGCATTTATCTCACAGGAAATGGCATTGGTAGAACTTTTAAGGGAGATAGTGAAGATGCTAGAGATAACTTTAACATAAGGCTTGAAAGAGAGATTTTCATAATGCATATAAAAGGTTTACAACATAAGCAAAGGAAAATGCTTATTGATACAGGTCTTATGGGAAATACTTGTAGTATAAGTATTAAGAAATATGGTCTTGGCATAATCTTGAGAAAGAAAGGTCTTTATAGGGAAGTTGCTACATACAATTTAAAGGAGAATGTCATGCAATTGTGCAAATCTTATAGGAGATGATTGTAGCACAAATTTTGAGGTAGAAGGCATGCAAAATTTGAAGAATGATAGAATATGACTGATAAATTTTCATTGAGACAGCGGAAATGATGGTATTAAAGTCTTACTATGGGAATAAGTGTGACTCTTGCTTTTGACTATGCTTTTGATATGATAAGGCTTCGTTAGCGACAGGTTTTTTCTTGCCATTGTCTCACTATGTATGATCGGCAACATGAATCCTTTTTCTTCATTATCATGTTAAAAGTCAAATTTTCATTTAAATCTAATAAAAAAAAAAGATCATTTCTAATATTTTCTAACCAAATATTTTAATCATACATTTACCTTTTTTAACATTAATAAAGAATTAATACATCTACTTTCCTAACCGGGATCATCGGAAGGCCGCCGTTTTATTTAACATTAATCAACGTGATCATGTAAATGTTCATTTCATATCATCTCTCTAAAAGTAAAGTCACTCATCCACCTGAGCATCCTCATCTTTACAACATAGAACTTAGTAGTTATGCTTATCTTTTAATGGCCAACATTCGGCACCATAAAGCATTGAAGGTCTCAGAACATTTTAAAAAACATATACAGCTCACCTTCATCTATTAGTAAGAAGTTTTCACTATTAAATGAAGAAATCCTGAATTCAAAACTTATATATAGATATATTCTGATTAAATTTTGATAAGACAGGACTCATTATTTGTGATAAGTGCAAGAATACAAAAATCAAATAAAAATTAAATGACAGTGATGTCTTGAAATCCATCATAATAAAATTTTTCCATTGAAGTTTAAACCTTTACTGTATCAACCACAACACTTAAAAACACAAAGCTATACGAAGATATATTGGGAATTGAAGGGGGTACCTATAACCAGAGTAAACGAAAGCAGAAGCCGTTATCTGCATATATTCAAATGGAAGCATTAGCTCTTTTTTGGGAGTATAAAGCATATATTAACAGATTGAAGAATCAAGAGGCTTTTGAACGAGAAAAGGGGAACGTAAGCAGTTCTTTCCGAAGTCTGCAGTGAAATTCTTCTCGCCATTTTCTCGCAATATCATTTACTCGGACGGATAATAGCAACCTGTTCAGAATATATACATCACAATTAAATATTCCCGAGTAAAAAACTTCTATGACTTTATTTGGGGGCAGTTTCCTTATTGTTTTCTAAAGCAGTTTGTAGAACAAAATTTTTTAGTTCATGAAATTTTTGTGCTAAAAAGCTGCTTTAAGAAGCAGTAAGAAAGCCGTCTCAAACGAAGTTTATATCTCGCTTAAACCTGTAAAACATACTAACAACATTTTATTTATGATCAAATTTGGTCTAATTGAAGAAATCATAGTCCATAAAAATATTCTTTAAATGATGCATTATATGGAGAAAAATATATTACATTTACAAAACGATTCAACAACTAATTTTGCGAAATCTAAATGTGCATCAAAACTCACTAAAATATGGACAATAATCTATACCAATACATGTTCAAGAGCATGAAAAAAAATTGAGCAAGATCTAAATCCTGAACATGTAATAAAATTATAGATCGCTTATGAATGTAAAAATGAAATAGAATCTAAATTGATACAAAACCTCCATAATGAATAAATTATACAAAACCTCTTAAACTCTCACCATCAAGACATTTTAAATTTTAGCTAGACCTCATTACTTAATCTCTTTGTGTAACTTCTCATAAGGTTATCCATTCTAAGAATGCTCCAATATGAGCATTGCTTATTTTGGAATTTCTAATGAAACTCCAACTATTAAATCAAAAAAAGCCTTGAAATTTAAGAGTTCTACTTAACTATACGGAAGGCATTTCACAATTTCCTCCACTTGAAAGCAATTAACATTCTTCTCTGCAGCCTTATAAATACGCTATAATCATCCACTATATGGGACTCTAGAAGCAGCTCACATCTTATAACATTTCGTCTTAAACAAGATCAAGAGGTGGTACCCATATCACAATACTTTGTCTTGAATGAAGCTTAGCTCCATTTTTTAGCTGGTGTATTGATCAAATATAGTAACAATTTGAACTCAACCATCAAGATATTGTTCGTTTCGATCAAACAAGCTTACAAGCCTCGTAATTTTGTCCCCTGATTGCAACTTTTTAGGTCCAACCTACCCTAGGAGAACTAAGCAAGAGCATACTTAACTTTCTAGTTCTTAATAAAACTCTAACCATTATATCAAAAGATCAGCGATATTTATCAAAACAATTTCACTAAACTCAAGGGATCTCCCAAAAGAAACCTTAAAAAAAAGCTATTTTAAGTTGACAAATGAATTGAATAACCTAATAATTTAACACCAGATGAATTAACTACCACAATATATTAAAAAAAAAAAACTACCATAATATGCCTACTAATTGAATAGAAGTTTAGTTAATTTCTGGTTCTTGATTTATAAATCTATGAAAAATCAAATAGAGAAACTAAAAATTAGCATATCCTGGATTTACTAGTTTTAATTGTCTTCGGGAAGATTTAAATTTTATAAATTCATTTATTTAATTGAATCCAAAAATGAAGAATTTGCCACGATTAATCTTTAAACCAAATAATTTTAACTGACTATTCGTCCAAATGGAAACATATCATATTTAAATTGCACATATTTGCAAAGTTTGCAAGTAATCAAAAGAAATTTTTTATTGAATCTAATAAACATAAATTTTTACAATTCTTCCTCCCTTGAAATTATTTATAGCATATCTATAACTACCACAATATATTAAAAAAAAAAAACTACCATAATATGCCTACTAATTGAATAGAAGTTTAGTTAATTTCTGGTTCTTGATTTATAAATCTATGAAAAATCAAATAGAGAAACTAAAAATTAGCATATCCTGGATTTACTAGTTTTAATTGTCTAAGGGAAGATTTAAATTTTATAAATTCATTTATTTAATTGAATCCAAAAATGTAGAATTTGCCACGATTAATCTTTAAACCAAATAATTTTTAACTGACTATTCGTCCAAATGGAAACATATCATATTTAAATTGCACATATTTGCAAGTAATCAAAAGAAAATTATTATTAACTATAAAAATATATGATGATTGTTATTAACCTTGACAAATATATATATATACTAATGATGTTAATAAGAAGAATGACTAATTCAAATAAGGCTAACGTAAAACCAAAAAGGTTTTCGATAGGTTTATTAGTATTGACTCAACAAGCAAGATATTATCCATTTTGACCAATCAAACATAATAGTTCTATCCCCTTAGTGTACTTCCCAGAATGCCGCTCATTCTGAGAGTACTTCAACATAAGCACATCAAAATTTGGAGTTCTTAAAAAAACTCTAAACCATTACACTAAAAGGTTTTTGAAGTTTAACAATACACCTTCATTGTACTTAAGTGGTCACACAATTTTCTCCATTAACCAACTAACAACATCCTTGTTGGCCTTAGTAGCTATAAATCAACAACATAAAGAAAGGACTTCGAGATGCTTCACATTATGTAGCACTTTATTCCAAATAGGTTTAAGAGATAGCTCCCATGGCATAGCCCTTTGCCTCCATAGAACTTAACTCCTAATTTCCAACCGGTTTATTGATTGGACATCATATGTGATAGTTTGAAGTCTCAACCATCAAGATTATTTTTTGCTTTTGCTAAATACACCTCGAGATTTTGTTCGCTTAGTACTACATCCAAAGAAGTCACCCATACTATAATGCTCCAGTATGAGCATGCATTAACTTCAGGGTTTTTAATAAAACTCCAACTGATACATCAAAATACACCTTAATATTTTAAAATTTAGTTTCATTTTACTTATAGAATCTCAAAACATGACCATTTCACAAAATTAACTAATAGGAAAATAAAGCCATATAAAGTTATGCGACAAATTGATTTAAATTTATTATATTGTTGGTGCAATTTTAAATGTTATTTGTTTAAGGCTTCATTTGGGACGGTTTTCTTACTGCTTCTTAAAGCAACTTTCTAATACAAAAATTTCTTTAAGAAGTAGTAAGAAAGCCGTCCCAAATGAAGGATTATTTTTGAATTACCACCTTACATTTCTTCTCCTTCAACATTGTTTCATTGTTCTTTGGAGCTTGAAAGTAAATTTGTGTCAAGTCAAAATTGTTACAAAATGATTTTCTAGTGATTGCTTGAAATTGCAAATGTATGTGTAGCTTTCATGATCCACAATTCTAGTCATTAATTTCTAATTAAAAATATAGATCTTTCATACGAATTGATTTCTCTCATTTCTGATCTTCATCAAAGATAGTCACTAATTACTTTGACTTAATACCTTGTGGCTTATGAATTATGTGCAGACATAAAGATGCTAGCTTACAATGGAAGTGCAACTAAAGAAGCATAATTCAATCCATCCAAAAAAAAAAAAAATCAAAAGCATATCATTCCTACTAGATAATTTTACTATGAACAAACTAAAAAACTAGTTTTAGGAAAGGCCAAATTTTAGAAAGGAGCATGTTAAAAATATCGTTATATAAAAAGAGCATGATTAACAAAAAAATTTAAAAAGGAACATATACGCTTAACAATTTGGTGCATTTAGAATAAGTTCTGCGCATTCTAAATGCGTCAATCTAATTGGTGTATTTCCAAGAGAGAGAAAAAGAGAGGGAGGGGAGAGGACAAGGAGAGAGAAAGAGAGAGAGAGAGAGAGAGAGAGAGAGAGAGAGAGAGAGAGCGGGCAGGAAGAGAGACGCGGAAAAAGCAGACCAGAGAGAGAGGAGAGGAGAGTAAATATTTAATAGGAATGAGAGAGTTAAAGTTGATAGGGAGAGAGAGTTATATATTATAATAGTTAAACTAATATTTAAATATTTTAAATAATAATTACAGTTAACTGATATATATATATATAATTATTTCAATGATAATTAATAATTAATATATAGCTCTCTCTCCCCGTCAACTTTAACTCACTCACTCATATTAAATATTTACTCTCCTCTCACTTTCTCCGATCAGCTTCCCCCCCTCCCCTCTCTCTTTTTCTCTCTTGGGAATACGCCAATTAGATTGGCGCATTTAGAATGCACAGAACTATTTAGTGCATTCTAAATGCGTCAAATTGTTAAGCGTATCTGCTCCTTTTTAAATTTTTTGTTAATCATGCTCCTTTTACATAATGATATTTTTAACATGCTCCTTTCTAAAATTTGGTCTTTAGGAAATCCTTGGAGGATGGAACATCAGCCATACCTATTTAGAAGTTTGTGTTCGTATTCAAGAGTTTAAAACGGTAGTATGCCTAGGGGTGTAAGTGAGCCACGCAGGCTTGAACTCAACTTGTTAACAAGCATATGAGTAATTTACTGGAGTTTGAGCTCACATTACACCTTCTATATTAAATTAACTTGAGCTCAATCTTGATCAAGCTCAACTCCTTCGCTTCATGACCTAACTCGATTAGAAAAATAAGTAAACCTAAATCCAAATTTCTCTTGTTTTAGCTTTAATCCAAATCCATTCATAGGAAGCAAATATCATGAACTCTTCTTATAATGTTGTTGGTCTCATTGAAGCCTTCTCTATCAAGCTCTCACTGGAATTTCCTCACCACTTCTTATAATGTTGCGACTTTCTCTCCACCAAACCCCTTCCCCAATGAGTGCCAATCACAACTTCGTTGGATCATACCCTATCGAATTCCAGCCATGAATTCGTTGGACTATTCCCCAAAGACCTCCAATCGTGACGTCATCCATGCCTTTTCTCTATCAAGATCCTGCACTTCCTCTTTTTTTACCGTTGCGGGTTTAGTGAGTTTGGGGAGAAACATGAGTTCATAAGTCAAGATTGAGGCACGAGCTGGTAAGACAAGCGAGCTTGACGAGCTCAAGTATGAACCTACTAAGACCTAGATAAGTTGAGCTTGACTTGGCTCAAATACACTCCTACTGTGCTTGAATGTATCTAAAATTATATCTCAACGTCAAAAATCTTGACATTTAAAAGTTCACTCCCTAAATGCAGAAACAAAATTATATTACAGGTTTAATTTTCTATTTCTTATATAAATCACTTTTTTTATTACTCCAG